TCTCTCAACCCAGAATCTGCCTTTTCTTCTTGCATCAGCAGGTGTTAAATACACATGCTTGAAGCTTGAATCATCATCCAGCTGTCTTTGATTCTCCATAACCGCAAGATCACAAGATCAATTCTGGAACATTCGGTAGGGTTGTGAGGTGTTGAAGCAAAACAAAAATGAGAGAGAGAAATGAAGTCTGCGCACAAAATGAGATAACCCAAACAGATAGTATATTAGGTTTAGCCAAAAACGATGTCGCATAAGAGAGTTTGACTTTAACACTTAAGCTGACTTCCACCGTGGCAAATAAGGAGCCACATCACCACAATTCTCCACCTTGGCTTCTTGATTTGTCACCCCCCATGTGGTCTTGGAAATTTTCCAGTTCACTCTTGAACTTGAAGCAGGCTCATACAGAGCCTATGTTTTTCAAATGGAACAGATTTTGTGAACATGTTGGCAGGATTATGAGATCCATCAATTTTCTCAATCTCAATTTCTCCTTTTTCAATCATTTCCGTAATGAAATGAAGAAGGAAATCAATGTGTTTCGTCCTTTCATGGTAAACTTGGTTTTTACAAAGGTGAATCGCACTCTGACTGTCACTGTTAATCTTCACTGTCTGTTGCTCAATACCTAGCTCATTAATCAGACCTTTCAACCAGGTGGCCTCCTTTGCTGCTTTAGTCAATGCAACATATTCTGATTCAGTTGAAGCCAGTGTAACCATATGCTGCAATTTTGATTTCCACCTGACAGTGTTTCCCCACAAAGTAAAAACAAACCCAGATGTAGATTTCCTTTTGTCTAAATCTCCTGCATAATCTGCATCACAAAACCCCTCAACACAATCATCACAACTATGATTTTTCTTAAAAACAATTCCTGCTGATTTGGTTCCTTGTAAGTATCTCATAATCCATTTAAGAGCCATCTAGTGAGTCTTTCCTGGATTGCTTATAAATCTGCTAACCAAACTTACAGCAAACCCTAAATCTGGCCTGGAACATACCATCAAGTACATTAGGCTTCCCAATGCACTAGCATAAGGTATCCCTGCCATATCAAGCTTCTCAGTTTCAGTATGGGGACTCTACTCATGTGAAAGTTTCAGGTGAGCACCGAGAGGAGTCTGAACAGATTTAGCATCCAGCATGTTGAATTTCTTCAGAATTTTCTCAGTGTAGTCCTTCTGGACTAACTTTAGACTTTCAGAAGCTCTGTTTCTGACAATGGAAACACCAAGAATTTTCTAAGCCTGACCCAACTCTTTCATTTCAAACTTGGTGTTCAGTAATTTCTTTAGTCGACACAGCTCAGATTTATCATGGCATGCCACAAGCATATCATCCACATATAACAGTAAAAAAATATGTGTTAGTTCTGAGATTCTTTTATAGTAAAAACAGCTGTCAAAATTACATCTATTAAACCCTGTTTCTAGCATAAAAGAATCAAATTTCTTATACCACTGTCGTGGTGACTGTTTCAAACCATACAATGATTTTTTTAATAGACAAACTTTAGCTGTAGCACTGCTATAGCCTTCAGGCTGCTCCATTAGAATACTTTCTTCCAAATCCCCATGCAAGAAAGCTGTTTTCACATCAAGTTGTTCTAATTCTAGATTGAATTGAACTACTAGAGAAATCAGGACCCTAATGAATGTATGTTTGACCACGGGAGAAAATATTTCATTATAGTCAACCCCCTCTACTTGTGTGAACCCTTTTGCGACTAACCTAGTCTTGTACCTAGGTGCATCCTCAGTTTTTAAACCTGGTTTTCTTTTGAAAATCCATTTACATTTTACCACCCTATAGTTTTCTGGTTTATCAACCAAAACCCAAGTATTATTCTTCATAAGAGAATCAAATTCTTCCTCAATGGCTTTCTTCCATTCCAATTTTTTAGATCCAGAAACTGCCTCTTGGAATGTCTTAGGTTCATCATTCATCTCTTCCTCCACCTGTAGAGCATAAGCAACCAGGTCTGCATATCCTAGTCTACTTGGAGGTCTGATTGTTCTCCTAATTCTATCTCTTGATAATTGATAATCATTCAAGTTTGAAGTATCTACACCTGGAGTATTCTGCCCTACTTCATGATCACTACTTGGTTCTTCCTCATGAGTATCTAACTCCTCAACTCCACCTTGATTCAAACTTAGGCTAAAACTGGAGTTTGTCACTTCTAGTTCTAGGTGTCCAGCTTCTGAATAAGAGTTCTCAGATTCATCAGGTTTGTTTCCTAAACCAGGTAGGGTAGTTTCTCTGAATATGACATCCCTACTCACAACACATTTCTTATTTTCTAAATTCCAGAACTTGTAGCCTTTAACCCCATCTGGATATCCTAAGAAAATACATTTGATGGCTCTAGGTTTTAACTTTTCATCCTTAGAATGAACATAGGCTAGACATCCAAAAAACTCTAAGGTTTTCAAGGTTAACAGGATGACCAGTCCACCTTTCAAGTGGAACTCTAAAACCTATAACTGATGAGGGTGTTTTGTTTATCAAGTAGACTACAGTATAGGCCGCTTCAGCCTAGAACTTGACTGGAAGTTTGGAACATGATAGGATGCTTCTTACCTTGTCTAGAATAGTCCTATTCATCCTTTCACAGAGTCCATTTTGTTGTGGAGTGTGTCTCATTGTCCTATGTCTAACTACCCTACTAATTCTACAGTAGTTATTGAACTCCTCATTAATGAATTCCAAACCATTATCAGTTCTTAACTCTTTCAGTTTCTTTCCACTTTGCTTTTCAACCATGGTTTTCCATTCCTTAAATCTAGAAAAGGATTCATCCTTGGTTTTAAGAAAATAAATCCAAACATGCCTAGAGTAGTCATCTACAAGACTCAAAAAATACCTACAACCTCCAAGTGAATAATGCCTAGATGGTCCCCATAAATCAGAATGCACATACTCAAGTGGTGAGCTTGAGTAGTGCTGTCCAGTCCCAAACTTTACCCTACACATTTTCCCAAAGACACAGTGTTCACAAAAGTTCAGATTCCCTGTTTTATCCCCACCTAGTAGGTTTTGTTTACTGAGTTCACCTAAGCCCTTTTCACTAACATGGGCAAGCCTTCTATGCCACAAGGTAGTCCTATCTAGTTTCTCAGTTGACCTAAAATTAGCCACTTCACTATAAGTCCTACCTTTCAACACATACAGTCCATTTCTTTTCTCAGCCTTCATGACAACCAGAGAACCCTTTAAGACACTAAGACTTCCATTAGCAGCCTTATAATTCAGAGCTATAGAGTCTAAAGTTCCAAGAAAGATAAGATTTCGTTTTAGGTCAAGGATATACCTAACATCAGTAAGTGTCTTAGTTAATCCACTATGGAGATTCAGTTTAACAGATCCTATTCCCTTAATATGACAGACATCATTGTTTCCCGTCATTACTTTCCCACCATCTAAAGGTTGAAATGAGCTAAACCACTCCCTATTAGGTGTCATATGATAGGTACAACTAGTGTCTAAAATCCACTCTTCCCTAGTATTGCCCTCTAAAATATCTAGGACCTCTGAACTCTCATAACCTTCTGATACTACCCCTGCACTACCTCCATCATCCTCTTTCTCATATTTCTTCTTCTTTTTCTCAGGACAATCTCTCCTAAGGTGACCCTCCTTATGACAGAAGAAACACTTCCATTTCCCAGGTTTGGACTTAGACCTATGTCTATTCTGCCCTCCCCTTTTCCAGTTCTTCTTTTCAGATCTTCCTCTTACTACAAGACCCTCACCATCACTTACATTTTTATCCCTAATCTTATTTTCAATATCCTTAGCTGAGATAGCTTCTACTACTTCTTCTAATTTCAGAGTCTACCTACCATATTTCAAAGTCTCTACAAAATTCGAATAAGTTTTGGGTAAAGAGTTTAACAAGATTACAGCTTGATCCTCATCACCTATTTCAATAGATATACTCTCTAAATCTTGTATTATCTTAAGAAAATAATTCTTATTATCTTTTAATGACTTTTGTTCATCCATCTTAAACCCAAACAAACTTTGTTTTAGAAATAACCGATTAGGTACAGTCTTAGACTAATAAAGTGAGTCTAACCTGCTCCATATCTCTGCAGCAGTCTTCTCCTTTTTGACTTCTCGAAGCACTTGGTCACCCAAGCCGAGGACCAAAGAGCTCTTGGCCTTGTTCAGCATGTCTTGTTTTTCAATAGTGGTTAATGTTGCAGGTAACTCATCTTCTCCTTTCAAAGCTAACGCCAAGCCCTCTTTAACCAGTACTACTTCCATCTTTATTTTCCATAGTCCAAAGTCGTTCTCACCTGTAAACTTCTCAAGCTCATATTTAGTTGACATGTTTTCTCACAGATAAAAGAAACATTCAGCAACAGAGAAGGAATCAGTTTAAGGAAACTCAGAGAAATGTATTAAACAGAAAAACCCTAACTGGACCTTCAATCGAGCTCTGATACCAATTTGTTAGATTCTAGGGTTTATGATTAAACCTAAAACAGTCTCACATAGGTCATCAATCAACGATTAAACACAAGACAAATGGAAAATAAGAAGAACAAACATAAAACAGGACACAACAGTTTATAGTGGTTCGACTTTACAGCCTACATCCACTCTCCAAGACTCACAATAGGGATTTCATTATCAATCAATAATGTACAGTGAGAATGATTTCATCAGAACATAAGGGAAAAACAAACAAGGACGGAACACACCAATTCGTAAAACCCTAACTCTCTCAACCCAGAATCTGCCTTTTCCTCTTGCATCAGCAGGTGTTAAATACACATGCTTGAAGCCTGAATCATCATCCAACTATCTTTGATTCTCCATAACCGCAAGATCACAAGATCAATTCTGGAACATTCGGTAGGGTTGTGAAGTGTCGAAGCAAAACAAAATTGAGAGAGAGAAATGAAGTTTTCATACAAAATGAGATAACCCAAATAGAAAGTATATTAGGTTTAGCCAAAAACGACGTCTCATAAGAGAGTTTGACTTTAACACTTAAGCTGACTTCCACCGTGACAAATAAGGAGCCACATCACCACAAAAGCCTTGAGATTCGTATCCGAAGACCCACCTTCATTGGCAGCTTCTCTTGCCAAATCCCTCAATTTCTTGGCATTTTCTCTCAATTCTTCTCTTTTCGCTCCTTCTCCCATCACCAACTCCAAGCACCTCTTAATCTCATCATTTTTAGCTATCCCTTCTTCGTTCTTACTCTCACTCCCGTCTTCCAAATATCTTCAATCAGTTTAGCGTTTGTCGCTTGATCCATCCATTGAGGAAACGCCACCAGGGGCACACCGCACGCCAAGCTCTCCAGCGTTGAGTTCCATCCACAATGCGTTACAAAACATCTTATCGTTGGGTTTGACAATACCTCTACTTGTGAACACCACGGCACTATCATCCCTTGTTGCTCTAGTTCTTCTCTAGATCTGCAACTCATCAATTTATCTTCTTCCATGTCTTCCTCTTCATTTTGATTTTCTCTTATGACCCACAAGAATGGGTGGGCACTACCGAGCAACCCACGTGCAATCTCCTCCATCTGTTGCTTTTCCAACACGATCAGACTTCCAAACGACACATAAACTACTGATGACTTGGGCTTTGAGTTTAGCCATTCAATATAATGAACCACGGAATAGATCCGCTCCAAATGAAGTATCGGATGGGTCTTTTCCATCCAAAAATGCAGATGGAATCAAAGGTCCGACCGCTATAATGTTGAATTTATCAATAGCTATTAACGCTTCAGATTCTAATGCATCGAATGTGTTAACGAGTATTTTCGGGTTGCTTTCTTCATGAAGAGCCTCCATTTGCTCTTGAAATGACTCTAATGCATGAGGGTACTTATATGAAGGGAGTAAAAAAGAAGGAAGATCACAGCTACTGAGTGATGGTAGCTCTGGTAACTCTATTAAACATGAGCCTTTTTTTGCGTTCTGTTTAATCATATTACCATAACCGTAAAAGTAATAGTAATAGACATCGAAAACCATGGCAGGTTGAATCCAAAGCAGCGCCAGAGGAAGGTTAAGTCGATGAGCCACCACGGCGGCCCAACGCAGAAGTAGAGTGTAAACCAAGCAAGTAAAAGGGTGACCCTCCTTTTCGCTGGCGAGGATGAGATCCGTTACGATATGGGAGCCACGACGCTTGATCTCTGACATATAGTGTGAGACATCATGATGTTGGGGATTGAACCCATCATCGTAACCATCAGAAAAAGCAGCCAATGACAAGTCATCGGATGTAGAGCATTTGGTCATGGCGGTGGGCAGAGACACTGGTGGCAAAGGTGACACGAGCGCCAATTCGCATAAGACGCTTGGCAAACTGGAGGGTAGGGTTTATGTGACCTTGAGCAGGGTAGGTTACGAGGAGAAAGTGGGGCTGCTTTTGCGCCATGCTTGCAGAAGAGTTTGGTTTTCTGCTTGTATTGAAAAATCAAGAAATGCGTTTGGCACAGAAATTATGTGGAAATTTTTTATTTAAGAGATTGAGTTTGAACACTGACGTTTGCGATGACGATTCGTGGGAGGTTTGTGATCTGAAATTTTTGTCTGTTACTCGTCATGGTTGAAGCTCAGATTTTGTTGTCTTTTGTTCTTGTCGCATCTGCAAGTGATATTATAATTTGTGCGGATAGACACCATCATTTCCAGCACGATTGTCATAGCAAACAGCTTACCGCAGTCTTTTTTATACTCAAGTTTAATTGTCAAATGATTTCAATTGCCTTGAAGACAATCAATGACCAATTAAAATAATATTAAACTTGTGGGCTGCTTGGCGATTTTACAGACGAATTTCCGAAGGCGGTTTTATGGACGACCGCTCTTCATTCCAGTGTTAGCGTGTGACATCTAGTCCAATGTGACAATGTCTATACCTGGACCTCGCTCTGGACCAAAGTCAGTAAATTTGTTGCTAATCCACTTTCTATAAAATATTAAACTTGTGGGCAGCAGCTAAAATCCACCCCTTGTTTTGTCGATTTCGATTTTACATACAAATTTCCTAAAGCAGCTTTATAGACTACCACTTCTCATTCTAGTGTTAAGAGTGTAACATGAAAGTCCAATATGTCTATACATGGAACTCGTTCTGGACCAATGCTCCAACCCACCTTAGCTGTACTACCCACCACCAATATGGGGGCAAATATTATGTGTTTATTTTACCTTAATGTTAGAGTGCTCTCTGTAAAATATCTCTTAAGTGCTTTGGACTGTAGTAATTTTTTTATTCCATTTTAGCGGTAACTGGAAGTGGGACTTTAAACAAAATGTTTTATGGCTTCAACTATTCCTCAAGCCGCCAATTAAGTATTGGTTCGTTTTCTGGTATTGAATAGACCAAATCTCTGAGAGACATAACCTCTTTCAAACATCAATTTTCAAAAGCGAAACGGGACATGCTTTTGCTGATGTAATTCTCAAGAATCATATTTACAAAAGTTATAATATAACTATTAGAAACGTGTTTGGAGAGAAGACTAAATTGATTTTTGCTGTTCTGTATATTTCTTAATCAAAGATACAACTATATATATATGTAGATAAAGACAAATGCCCTTAAGCCAAAATACACAAATGCCCTTAAGCTTACACCGACATACATTACTTAATATCTCCCCTCAAGTTGGTACATGATACAAATTAATCATTCTCAACTTGCCAATTAAGTAGTCATGTTGTTTCCGACTTAGCGGTTTTGTCATCAAGTCAGCAACCTGCTCAATCATGGAGATATGATGAATCTTAATGATACTTTCTAAAATCCTTTCTCTTGTAATGTGGCAATCGATCTCAATGTGTTTCGTGCGCTCATGAAACACGGGATTGGCTGAGATATGAATGGCGACAGTATTATTACAATACATACTAGTTGGGGTCAATGAATCAACCAAGATACCAATGAGTTGCCCAAAAAAACACAAAATCCTATCGTAGATCATCTACTCATTAAGCATGAAGCACAATCACTATCACAAAAAGCTTGTAACTCCGATTTACTGGAAGAGGAAAACAATAAACTAGAGCCAAGATTCAACTTTATGTATCTGATTACCTTCATGGTAGCATCAAGATGTGACCTTCTGGGTTTGTGCATGTGCTGACTAAGGAGTTGTACCACATAGCTAATATCATGCCTTGTCATAGTTAAATAGATCAAACGACCTATTAACCTTTGATACACACCAGGATCTTCAAGGAGAGGATCAACTTTCAGCTCATCATTGTTGTCATATTCAAAACTAGTTAGCTTTGTGTTTTGCTCCATGGGTATGCTAGATGGTTTTACAAAGCTTAGGCCAGCTTCAGATATCAATTCCAATGCATATTTGCACTAATTAATGCAAATTCCTTGATCAGATCGAGCTATCTCAAGTCCAAGGAAAAACTTTAGTGTGCCAAGGTCTTTAAGATGGAATTTTGAAGCAAGATAAGCCTTTTTATGTTCAATGCTTGCCAAGTCATCTCTTGTCAACAATATATCATCTACATACAGAAGTAAAACTGTTAGTAGACCATTGTTCTTTTTGATAAAAAGAGAGTAATCATATTTGGATTGTTGAAAACCCCTTTCAATCAGTGCTGCACTAAATTTCAAGTTCCATTGCCGAGAGGCTTGTTTCAAGCCATATACTGACTTTTGTAACTTGCAAACTTTATGTTCCTTATCTTTAGATGGAAAACCAGGAGGCATTTTCATGTAAACATCCTCATAAAGGTCACCTTGCAAAAATGCATTATATACATCCAGCTGATTTAAAGGCCAACCCTTAATAGAAGCTAAAGCCAAAACAAATCTTACTGTCACATTTTTGCAACGGGAGAAAAGTCTCCTTAAAATCAATCCTCTCCTTTCGATTGAATCCCTTGGCTACTAATCTAGCCTTATACCTTTCTACAGTTCCATTAGACTTATATTTTATCTTGTAAACCCATTTACAACTAATTGGCTTCTGATTCTTAGACAAATCTACCACTGACCATGTATGATTTTTTTTCTAAAGCTAGAATCTCATTTTTCATAGCTTCTATCCATAATGGATCTTTAGAAGCTTCAGAAAATGAAGTAGGTTCAACCAAGGAAGAAAAAGAAGAAATTAGAGCCAAATAATTGGGAGAAATATTATCATAAGAGACATGATCAGAGATAGGATATTTGATGGAGCAAGAAGATTTGTTTGACTTGATAGTAGGACATATGTAGTCCTTGGACCAAATGGAAGGTTTGGACACTCGAGTACAACGTCTAGAGGAGATTGATGGGGCTGCTTGGGTCAATGTTAGAACATGCTCAGTATGATCAGATATAGTGTCCAATGTAGCAGAATCTATTTGGGCAATATTTTGGGATACTGGTTGTGTGGTACGTGGGGAAGCATTATTGTCCATTGGTGTATCAATGAGGATTTGGTCATTTGCATTAGGTAAAGGATAAATCGGATTATCAAAATCCACAACAACTGATTCTGTAATTGTGCACTGATTATTAGATGTAGTTAATGCAAACGGGAATGTAGACTCATAAAAAATGACATCCTGTGAACAAAATTTTTTTGTGAATCAAGATCATATAAAATATATGCCTTTTAAGTAACACAATAACAAAAAAATACACAAGCAATTGATTGAGATGAAAATTTATCATGATTATTAAGCTTTGTGGCATAAGCAAGACATCCAAAAACCTTAAGATGATCTAATGAAGGAGATGTGCCAAATAAAATTTCGTATGGTGTTTTGTTTTTGAGAATAGGAGTTGGAATTCTATTAATAAGATATGAGGCAGTTTTAATACATTCTCCCCAAAACCTAGAAGGAATGGAAGCTTGATGCATAAGTGCTCTAGCAATATTCAATAAGCGTATATGTTTTCTTTCCACCAAACCATTTTGTTGTGGTGTGTACACACAAGATGTTTCATGAATTATTCCTAGAGATTCAAAGAAATTTTTTGTGTCACTATTAAGAAATTCCAAACCATTATCAGATCTGACTCTTGTTACACGAGTTTTAAATTGGTTTTCAACCATTTTAATAAATTTATGTAACAAATTGGTTGCTTTAGATTTGTAAGACATCAAAAAAGTCCAAGTGGCACGAGAAAAATCATCGACAATGGTTAAAAAATATCTAGCACCATTATGAGTTGGTTGTTTATATAGACCCCATGAATCTATATGAATGAGTTCAAAAACACCCTTTGTAATTGAGTGACTATGTGCAAAAGGCAATCTTTTTTGTTTTGCTAAAGGACAATCATGCATTCAGTTATATTACAATCAGACAAATGTGGAATGAGTTTCATTCTTGAATTTGAAATATGACCAAGTCTTTTGTGCCAAAGATTGGACTCAGTATATGATGAAGAAAAAGTCAACATTTTATTCATGTGAAAAGAAATCGCTTTACATGAATCTGCATCGTTACAATCAGAATAAAAAACAGAACCATTTGAAGTAGTGGACAAATCACTTATTTGTGCAAGATTACAAACTTCATTAGGAAAAGCTGCAAGTTGATAAAGACCATGTTTGACCTTACCAATCCCCTTCAAACACTCCACTCGAGAGGTCCTGAAAAGTGCACAATTGAGGATAAAAAGTGATACTACTATGGTTTTCATTTGTGAATTTTGACATTGACAAAAGATTATACTTGAAATCTAGGAGATAAAATACTTTATCTAAACGTGACTGGGAATTTAACGGAATTGAACCTATGTGAGTAATACGAGTCTGTTTGCCATTTGGTAGAGATACTAAGGAGTCATAATTAGAAGGAAAAGATACACATGATTCAAGAAGATTTTTGTTTGATGTCATATGAAGACTTGCCCTAGAATCAATAATCCAATTATTATTATTATTAAATGAGCTCAAAAGACTAGTATAAATACCTGCTAGATTTGCAGAAGGTTGTGTGTTTTCTTTGCTAAGTAACTTGAGAAGATTATTGTATTGCTCTTTAGTTAAAACAGGAGCTTGTATCTGCATTTGCTCTTGAGAGTTGTTGGATGTTGAAATGTTTGCAGAAGCTAGATTTGTTGTCTTGTTCCTTTTGGTGCCAAACTGTCCTTTGGGTTTGTAGAATTTATGTCCTTCTGGATATCCATGAAGGTTCCAACAATTGTCTTTCTTGTGAATTGGATTATTGCAATGCTCACAGATTATCAGTGGCTTCTTGCCCTTGTAATTTCCCCCTTTGTTTGCATTATTTGTGGAAATTAATGCAGTATTAACCTCATTGTTGGATTGTCTAGAGACAATTTGTCCTTGTGATTCATCTTGAGTGACTATTGAATAAGCTTGATTTACTGTGGGCAATGGATTCATCATCAATATTGTACTCCTACATACATCGAAGTTCTCATTGAGACCCATCAAGAACTGAAGAAGCTTCTGTTGTTCTTGAGGACCTTGATAAGTCTTTGATCCCTCACAAGCACAATTAGCCAAATTGACTATGGACCAATATTCGTCCCAAAAGTCCTTTAGATGCGAATAATAGGGATAAACACTTTGAGTACCTTGATTAACAAAGGCTATTTCCTTGTGTATAGCATATATCCTCGTTCCATTGACCTTATTGAATCGTTCTTTGAGATCTGCCCATACAATGCTTGCGTTTGTCTCATAGACAACCCCACCAAAAATTTCTTTGGATACTGAATTAAAGATCCATGATAATATGATGACATTTACTCTCTCCCAAAGACTGTGTAAAGACGAATCAAGATTGGATTTGGCACAAGATCCATTGATGAAGCCAATCTTGTTCTTGGTTGTGAGCGCAATAATCATTGCTCTGCTCCAATGTGAATAATTCTCAAATCCTGTTAATTGTTGAGAAACAATCATTGCACCAGGAGTATCACTTGGATGAAGATAGAGTGGATTATGAAAATCAATTTGACTTAGTGACATCATAGTTTGCCCTTGTTGCTCCATTTATGCAAATAAGATGAATTGGAAGAATTAGGGCTAAGATGTGATTTACGACTATGAAATAGAAGGGAGATTAGGATCGATTAATTGCGATTATTGAAGAATCGCATAACCACTCTGATACCATATTAGAAACATGTTTGGAGAGAAGACGAAATTGATTTTTGTTGTTCTGTATTTTTCTCAATCAAAGATACAACTATATATGTAGATAAAGACAAATGCCCTTAAGCCAAAATACACAAATGCCCTTAAGCTTACACCGACATAGATTACTTAATAATAACAGTATAAACTAGGCCTGCAAACAAACCGAACAGTTCGTGAACAACTCGATGTTCGTTCGATAACTGTTCGACATTGTTTGTGAACAAACTGTTCGCGAACAGTTCGATGTTCGTTCGATAATATGTTCAATCGAGTTCGAACATGGGTTGTTCGTTCGATTATGTTCACGAACATTATACATTCGACTGATCCATCCGTTCGCGAACAATCTGTTCGATTGTTCGTTCGTTTATGTTCAAAAAACATGGTATGCATTATTATAATTTATATATATATTTTTTTTTTCATTTTTTTTCTTTTTAATATTATGTTTGGTTTAGTTTGGATGAATTTTTTTTTAATGGTAATCAATAATAAAATATTATGATGCTTTTGTTTTTCTTATATATATAATANCTAAAGCAGTGCCATAATTATCTTTAAATAACAAACCCGGGGGTCAAAACATAAATAATCAATTGCCCAAGAAACTGATTCCACTGCTTAAAAGCAAATTACAAATCCTCAAGCACCTATAACTAACTACCATACTCAAGAATAGAAAATAAATAAACGCCTTAATCCTCAAGTTTACTCTTCTAATTCTCTCCCAGGCATTAACGGATACCCCCTCTTCCCCTTTCATGCAAGCATGGATCCATTGCCCATCACCAGCCCTACTCACCTTCCCATTTAATACAAAGCAGGGTCTACCCAGTGGCACAATGCATACTCAACGAACATAAACATTTTAGTTATTAACATTCATAAAATTCAAAACTGTGCAAACACGCAATGTCATCCAACAGAAAGCGGACAAACAATCAGATCAAAAGAAACAATTTCTTTCTCCAAAATTCTGTTGAAAGTTACCTTCAGAAAACCAGACTCTGTTGTTTATTTTGCATTTGATAAAATGAACAAAAGAAAGTACATGTTCATATGTGAGAAGTAAAAAAGAAAACTACAATTAAGTGTCCTGCCAGTTTACCGCACCGGCTGCTGATTGTAGTGATTCTTCTCTTTCTTTTTTGCAGCAGCAAGCCTTGCACTCCTTGCAGCAGCCTCACTAGCAGCAGCTCGGGCAGCAGCATCCATCTCTTTACTAGACTTTTTCTTTTTCATAGAAGCTACTTTCTTCAGCCGCTCCTTCACATCAACAGATGTATCCTCGGCCTTCTCTGTCCCTGCAGTTTCATCTGTCCCACCACCAATGTTAGCACCATCAGGCTGGTCCTGAGACAAATCTTTTGTTTCCTTCACGGATTTATCCTTCTTCTTCTTCTTTTTGGCACTTTTGCTCTCTGCAGGGCCATCATCCTTCTTTTCAACATATCCATTATCTTCTCCTTTCTTCTCTTGTGCCACACCTGAAAATAAGGAAAAATATGTATTCCATGTAACAGAGGCTTCCTAAGTAAAATGAAATACAGCAACAAGCAATGGACCAAAGTTTCTGTTTAACCCCAAGTCATAAACTTCAAGAAATGAGTGTCAAGAACTGACATGGTCAACACATATTAAATAAATGTGGGTAAAAGCTAACTTGTTATAATTTCCCATTAAAATTCTTAAATGTTTGAAATACTAGTAAAAGCTACCAAGTCTTTTTGAAAACCAATGCTCAGAGCAAAAAGAAAAAAAAAAAAAAATTAGGGCATAATGCACTGGCAGTTATAGTCTATATACTACAAAATGTAGAAACAATGAACTTGATGTAGGAAAGCAGCATAAAGAGAGGTTAAGATTGAACAGAATTCCCATTAACCACAAGAAACTTGCACAAATATGAATAATAAATGAACTTGCAGAATTTAACAACATCGAAGGACAAAGCTGTTGAGGAAACTCCTGACTTCTCCAGTATTAAAAGTGAAAGCATTTAAATTTCAGGAATTAAAAGTAGTTTCAAATCTACAATATGCATACATACATACAAACATGTGTGTACGACTGTGTGTGTGTGTGTGTGTGTGTGAGCATGTGCTTGCGTATGTTGTTTTAGTGATGGCGCATATGTCACAAAGATATCAGACCCAATTCAATGCTAACATGAGAAGGGATCTATTGAGATGTATAAACATATAAATGATGCCAAAGTACCATGAGATCCATCTTGGCCACTGGCTTCATTTTTCAATCCCATCTCAGCAAGAAGAGCATCAAGTTCTTCGAGACCCTTTTTCTTCAATTCCTTCTTTGAAAGTTGCCTTTCTGTATCTTTAGGAGCCAAAGGAGTTTCTGGAGGCTTCGCAACTAGTGGCTCCACTTCTACTGCTGTCTCAGTTTCATTTTCATGTTCTTCTTCAACATCCTCATCAACCTCATCAAGACCTTCTTCCTCACTTTCACTTTCCTGAAATAAAATATGGAATAAATCTAAGAATCTTTGATAGCAAAATGACTCAGTACATTTAATCATCCAAGGTTCATAGAGCATTTTATCCTCAAATGGGAAATACAGCATGAGAAATAACTTTTTTCCCCACTAATAATTAAATAATAATTACTGCCTTTTCCCCAGTGCAATTATATTTTTGTATCAAACTACATGCTGATACACTTTATTATTTGACCATTTTTTAGCATAACCATGACTGACACATAATCCTAACCAAAGTCTGATACTTTGGCTGTCCCAGGTTCACAAAGGGGTGGACCTAAGCAATCAGGTAGCTGTAAACCATGGTAAATAAATGGAATGACCCAGCATGCACCCATCTCCAATGGTCCGTGGCATGTCAGAGTGCAGCTGCAACATAGTGCAAAGTTGTTGTCCGAGTTACTTGGCGTTACCCCCTAGATTAATGAAATGCCTCTATAAAGAGCGTTAACTTATATCTCCATCTAAACAACATTAAATTATCTTTCTGCAACAGAACAACATTATAAGCTCAGGAGATCAAGAAAAGACAACCAATAGTTAAATCAATGCAGCCACAATCATTTATCATGAAGCAGTAAAACAATTGACACGTCCACCAGAGTAACGCAAACTCCACATTAACCAGCACTGACTTCTTATTACCATCTCCATCAATAATTGTTGCAATGACACATATTATGGATGATCTGTTGAATCCGACAATCTAAACGACAAGAAATGCCTTTATTGATTGTGTTATCATAATTAAAATTAAGTGTAAAATAGTTCAAGCCACGACAAATACATAACAAGACATATGTTGATAATAAGCATAAGACAGTCAAAACAACATACGTGTGATTTTAATACGTGTGTAAACCAGATTGAATAGAAGTAACCTTAACACAGGACCTTTCTACACGTGCAAACTTCAACGGATCAAGTAGATTTCAATAAAAGTAAGAAATCACAATGATGATCGAAGCAGAAAATAATGCAAAATTGATTACGAACAACCGACAAAAAACAACACTTCAATTTCCACAACTGTCAACAGATACATATCATTCCACAGAAAACATAAACCATTAAAAGAACTTTGTTATCCAAAAATAACAGTCAACACCACAGGAAAATCTAAGTCGCTCAGAAATTAGTTTCTTATTGTGGCATTCATAAAGCTATGCACAGCAGACTCTACATGATATCCCAACATTCATAGGCAAATGGATGAGAAACTAGTTAAAAAGAATTCCAGTTACAAAATATAGAGTTATTTGTCAACAGCACGTATAGTCATCATATTCACAAGAACAAAAAAATTTGCTGACACAACATTTAAGGAAAAGAATCTCAAACCCACTTTAAAAAATGCAATAATGTAATGCCAATTAAATCCTAAAATAGCTGCGAAAAGAAAGAGCTAAACGCATTCAGGTAAGATCCTTTTCTTCATTTGAAAATTCACTATAGTCATTAAATAGGCATTGCTGTACACTACATTAGCATAAAATGATATAATCCAAATTCAGCATCAAACAATGAAAGGAAGCATAATTACAATAAATATGAAAGAAAATAAAATAAAATAGCAAAAACGAAACCTCAACAGGAGGCTCCTGGGACTCTTTCTGGGGGCTGGGGTCCACAGTACCCCAAACCGATTGAGGCGGCGCGGTTGTTGCATAGTAATCGTCGTCATCCTCATCATCGACATCAGCCCATGACTTAACAGTAAGCGGCGTTGGGGCCCAGAAAACCTCCTTCTCTTTCTCCTTCTCGGCGGGTTTGGTTTTGCTCTTCGATGAACCTTGCTCTTTACTGGAAGACTTCTTCTTCTTCTTCAAGTTTCCTAGCGCCGCGAACACATTATTGCTGTTTAAAACCAACGATTCGTCTTTTCTGCTACCGCCTCCCACCATTGTCGAACACCCTACACACACCTGTGACTGTAAACCTCTTCAGCAAAGGGACAAAATAGGAAATCAGATGTCGATGAGATTAGATTTGATCAATCAAGGGTTGAGATGAAATAAATTGTAAAGTTAAAAGACGATCTGATAATAAGAGTTAGGGTTTGGGATGGGTTGGTTGGAGGCAGAGAGAAAGAAGAGCACTGTCCTCAATGTGTGTTGTGTATGTGTAATGTAACGGATGAAATGGAAGAGTTGTAAAATTGTATGAGTTTTTATCAGGGTTACAACATGGCCTTGATGGGCTTTGGGGCTGGCTGGGGTTACGCGCAAAGGCAAGGGCGTAATGTTTTTTTGTTTTTTGTGTTTTTTGTTTTGGGATTGCGAGGGTGACTGGGTAAGTTCCAGATGATGAAGGTGGATATTTAGTTTTAGATATAAGAAGAGAGAGGAGTATTGATGATGTGTTGAGTGAGTGAAGGTGAGCCGTCTGATTACGAAGTGGTCAAGTGGAGTGGTGTTTGTGTTGTGTGGTCTATACGGTATATTGGTGAGGTAATATAATGTGTGTGGATGGATTAATGAACAGGTGGATAAGAGGAAGGGTGAGAACACACTAGGCTGGCATGCAGTCATTCTGGGTCCACTTTATTGTGTAATTGGCATTTATTGGCCAAATATGGGCCTCTTTACACTAAGCCCATCTCTGTCTTTTCTTATTATTATTGTATTATTATGTGCCCTTCATCCTGCACATCACGGTTCGATTTCGTTACTGTTATGCTTATTTTGGATACCCCAGAGATTTAGTAAAATAAGAGTGACCCATAAGTTTCAGAATTTAACATTTACACCCTTATAATTTCAAAATGTGTTGATACGTGATTTTAATACTAACGACTTGCACGTGTAAAGTGTTAAACTGTTCTTAGAAATTATACATAAACGATTATGAGAGAGTCAATCAATATAATCAAATACAAAGATTGAATAATAAATGAGAGAGATGCTTTTTAAAGTGGTTCGAATGCTTAAAGTGAATCATACATCCATTGTTTCTTTTATATATGAGAGATTATAAGAGGTCGCGTATAGCGAACATAAATACAATAACTAAGTATTTAGAGAGAATATCAAGTCAGTCTCTTTCTTGTAGGTTGAATTTGCTCTGAAAATAAAGATTACAATCAGAATGAGGGTTCAATAGCATAATCCCGAAAATAAGAGAGGGAGTCCTCTATTTATAGTAGAGGAATTCAAGGTAGTGATTACAAATCTGCAAGTAGGTAGGTGTCGTGCAAGTCTTTCCTTGCCTCCTGTTGGCTAATAACTTAGGACATATCCTCAAATTATATGGGGCTTGGACAAGTGTGCAATCCTTAGTCACTCATAGACAAAACCTGAATCTGATAAGTTGATGACAACAATATTCTTTTTGTCTTGGATCGACGCAAAGTCTACTTGAACTCTGATTGGTGCTTGCTGATGTAAGCTTACGTCAGCCCTGATTTTTTAGGCATAACAAAAGCTCCCCAATTCTTAAGGTTCAAAGATTGAATCTTGAGAACTTCATGATTATACTGTGATTTGATTTGTCTTGAGGAATGTCTACCTGAATTAACAGCTGAGAACAACCACATTGCTATAAACAACATGAGGCTGATGGTTTGATCTGACCAGCAAACTGAGTGTAGATCATGACATGGGTCTCAAGAATTACACAAGCGACCCAACGTGATCGTTCTCAAAGGTCTAACGACTTGATCCAGATTTAATCAGTGCTATGAAAATGTGTTTTGAATTCTACTTGTCATTCACGATCTGAAAACACTTAAAACACTTTGCTGTCGAAAACCGAGAATCATCTTGTTCGGTGTTCGAGCTTGACATATAGAAAAAGTGCCTTATTCTAACGATCTCCTCAGATGTTATCCGTTGCGTTTGATAGCTATTTTGGTCAATAAAATAAGCTTTATCTGACAGACGTGTCTCTACGCAATAAGTGTCAGCCATGAGCATTAAATGTAAGCCATGCTGAAACGACATTATCTTTTGAAGCATTAAATGTGGATGAAGGCACATTTAATGTGGAGGAGATAATCACACTAGCGCTTGGCAATTTCAATAAAGAGAAACGTCGATTGATATTCATGAAGTGTGATGGTCACTCTTCGTGCAGATTGGTGACACGTGGTCACAATCAATGGCCGAAAATGCGTTCCAGCCCAAACAACGCTTATAAAAGAAGCCAAGCGTCATCTTCCACCTTATAAATCTCAAAGCCCATTCTAAGTTTTTTATAGAACTCAAGTTTTCTGAGAGAAAAACAGTGTTTTTGCATTCAAAAAATCAATTTATCCTCTTCCCGCTTAATGCGCACTCAACACTACGACAGAGCATCTGTTCCCAGCAATCAGGAGGTAAAGAAATTTCTTCCCTTTTTCTCTTTTTCCTTTCTATCAAAAACTTAGTTTTTACAGTAATGACGGGTATCGACGTCTAATAGGCTTAGATGATGAACGTTCTTAGGTAGCATTTGAAAAGAAACACTTTTAAGAGTTGAAACCTAGGGCATAGATTTTTAGAAAATCATTCTTAAGAATTTTTAGGATTTTTGGCAGCTATGGAAGAGAAACCAGGGTTCTTTTACTCTTCTGAGTCGTCGTACGAGGTTACTTATACAGAGTTTGAGTCACCCCTACATGTCGCACCTTTATAGACTCTAAAGGCAATGGACACCCCTGAGGCAAGAATAGTTGGAGAGGGAAGCTCGCAACAACCGGGCACCTCGATAGGTCACAGAAAGGTGATATGATCAATAGTTACGAGGGATGAAATTCAGAAAGTAATAGGCCAATATGCGATCAACGTAAACATGTTCCAACATAAGTCGCACACTGCTCGGGATCCTCCCCAAGAATGGCCACAATCTCAGAAGCGATCTTCAAATGTGAAGTGAGGATACCCCTTCACCCCTACATCAGATTGATTCTCGACCATTTCCAGGTCACGCCATTTCAGTTGATGCCAAATGCATATATCATAGCGGTCACTATGTATATTGCATTTGGCAAACACAACCTCGACAAGCCAACATCAGATGAACTTGGTTGTGCCTATTACTTAAAGAAGAGTAAAGACAAGGATTCATACTGCCTCTCCAAGCGATCAACGATCGATGGGGGATATTCGGTTATCCCAGCAATGTTGGGGCTTATGAAACCAAATATTTTTCTTCGAGTACAATGGAGTCTGTAAATTAACGAACCAAGTAGGTTTTCCTTTTAATTTCTAGATCGCTCATTTGTTAACTTTAACTCTTCCTAAGCAAATTAGGCTAACAATCCGTTTGCTTTCTTGCAAGAAACAAAACAACCAGATTGTCGGGGCTAGTTGATTGAAGCTACATCAAAGCATGTGGTCGATTGCCAGACTAGAGTCACGACGTAAGGCTGCTCGTGACCCTAGTTAGTAAATACGTATATTTACGTATTTTATAAGGGTTGCCGAATTATACGCGTATAATATGAATATCCATATAATTTGCGAATTATTGCAAAAAAAAAAAAAATATTGGTCACCCCAAAATGATGTCGTTGTAGTTGGGTTTGACTCAAAATCAAATTAAAATGTCAGTTCTGTAACTCTTTACTCTCTCCAAAGTTTTCAGCTTTTCTTCAAATAATCAGAATCAAATCTTTAACAGTTTAATGGATTACTCTCTTTAAAGTTTAAAGTTGTTTTCTAGTTTTCTTCATCTCTTGGGTCTTGATCTCTTCTTCTCTTCTCTTTTTAACTCCCTTTTCCGGGCTTCAAGTTCGGGACTTCAAGGTACACACTTCTTCTCTTCTCTTTGAATCTCGTTGGTTGATTGCTTGTGTTTGTGTTAGTGTGTGAGTAATAGTAGTAGGAGGGGCTGGTGGATTGATGAATTTGTTATGTTGGTGGATTGGTGGATTTGTTTGAAACATGTTTGATGAAATGCTTGTGACAGTTATATTTGTATTTGATTGTGATTTTACATGCGCAGACAAGGCTAATAAGTAAAACGGATCAAGCAAACTGAAAAAGGCAAATCAATATGTTGCTTTGCAATCCCTCAAAGAGGGTGTTGTCCTTGCCAGTGAGCCAAATTAGACTGAGCAGATAGACAAAGTTCCTCCTGTCGTCTCTCAGACTGAGATCCAATCCACTCCTGCGGTCCTGTCATAGCTCCTCCCTTGAGCACACCATTGTCGTGCTTCCTGCGAGTAAGGCTTCTTGTACTTTGCTTTAGTTCTTGTTAGACACTTAGACTTTTGTTTGTGTTGTAAAGGTGCCAGAAGCTAGACTACTTAGTTGATTTTGCTTTTAAATGAATTTAAGGAAAAGTGATGATTAAAAAGAAGAAATTAAACGTGAATCAGAAGCTACTAAATAGCTAGTTGCCTAGTTTTGCTTTTAAATGAATGTAAGAAAAAGTGATGATTAAAAAGAAGAAATTAGATGTGAAAAGAAGCTACTACTTAGCTAGTTTCCTAGTTTTGCTTTTAAATGAATTCAAGGGATGATTAAAAAGAAGAAATTAAAGAGTAGGTACCGTAATTCATTGGTTTAATGCCCTTATTTGGCTATTTAATTAGGAGTTGAGATGGGGTGTATTAATTGGGATGATTTGTTCTTTAGTTAACTTATAAATTCGAACACTGAAAGTGTTTTCAAAGACATTTTGATTACACACAATTTATATAAATTCAGTGTTTTCATGAAAATAATTTACAAAATCATATTTTATCGTTATGACACTAAGTAAGATATAGAGATTGATAATAAGCAAATCGGAAAAATAATAGTATTAAATTTTTTTTTTTTTTTTTTATCAATCTTTTTTCCTTTTGTATTTGATGATGTTCTCTTTTATGTTCTTGTAAATACAGACTCAAACCAATATAGTACGAAAAAAAGATAAAATTTGGGAGCATGTTGAGGAGCTCCAAGGGAATAAATGGAAATGTAAATTTTGTCAAAAAGTATTTAGTGGTGAGGCTTACAGAATTAAAACACACTTGTCGGGAATTACTGGCCATAATGTTGAGATTTATAGTAAAGTCAATCATGAGACACAAGCATGTGCATTCTTAGCTATGTCTAGAAGTGGAAGTAACAAAAAATTAAAAAATTCAGCCGATTCTTCTACTGCTTTAAACTCTAATGATCATGAGGAAGAAACATATTCACCATTTTCACCACTTTCTAAGGGTAGCCAAAGACGTCAAAGTCTAGCATCTTTACTAGAAATGAATAAGAAAAAAGACAAGGAGTTTGTTGATAAAATACTTGCTAAGTGTTTTGTGGTGAACAATATCGCTTTTAATGTTGTTCAAACTGGTGCTTTTGGAGAATTTGTTAAGGCAGTGGCTGAATATGGTGCAGCATA